AAGATGTCCCTTCATTAGTTCAAGCTAAAAGCTGAGGTGTGACCCAAGGACCTCCCCCACAGCTGGATCGTCCCTCCTCCCCTGTTTTCATGGTTTTCTCTCTCTCTCCCTTCCTTCCTCCATCTCTCCCTTTTTCTCTTTCTTTCTCTCTCAATTCTTTTCTTTTCTTCCATTCATTCTTTCTGTTCTCTTCCTCCCTCCATTTTTTTCTTTCATTCTCTTTCTCTTTCTTTCCTATTTATTCTCCTCCCTCCCTCTCCTCCCTTCCTCTCCTCCCTCCCTTCCTTCCTTCCTTCCTTCCATTTCTTTCTTCAACTCAGTTGAATGCTATGGACCAATTCCAACCATAGGAGAAATATAAACATCCAAGTCAATGATGATAAACCTCAACAAAATGTAACAGAACCCCAATAGCTAAAATTCATCAAGGGTCCCCAGCTTGTAGTGAATTGCAAATGTGAATAACCTGGAGACTCAAAAAGGGACAGCACTGTGTTGGGCAGCCCTGCTAGGTCCTCTGTCCATTCTAACTTCCCAGGAATGATTGCTGGTCTTGAAGGTTATCAGAACTTCCCTCTTTTTGCCTCTTTCTTCACTTTTTTATGGGTGACCATTGTTTCCTCTGAAAAGGATCAGCCCGAGAACATAAAGAGGCTATGAAGGGTGAACCTATTCGTGCTCTTTTTAAGCACCTGTAAATCAAAATAAAATTCAAGAAAGGCTGAACTGGGACTTTTTTGGTACTATGTTTACTTTCTGTGCTACCTCTTTCTCTTTCTGCTGAATAAATTGAAAAATTGGCCAAACACTCAATATGTTCATTGGATGCCTGTCAAATGCCATGGAATGCACAAAACACTCAGAGTCCCATAATCTAATCTTCATGTCATCTGCTGACAGTACAGATGTGCTTTACATTGTGCAGTGGACATAACTGGGTAAGTTGATCTTTTTTGAAAAATGCATCAAGTTTGAAAGGTATATCTACCATTTGAGTGGTTTTGCTTAGAAGATACATACCATACTCACCAAGAGAAGTCAACATGAAAAGATGAACATTTTTATCAGATCAGGCGAGGCGGGATCAAAGGAGGCAGATTTAAAAGGGCCACTGAACAGGTTTATTGGGATATCAGACCCACAGAGGGGACAGGGGAAGGGTCTGAGGAGAAACCACGCGGAAGCTTGACAGACTGGACTTTTATGGGGCTTATAGCAGGAAGGGAAGGGCTTGGGACAGGAAAAGGTGTTTCTAGGGTCCCTTGCCCCCTTGGAGTTGGTCAGGGGAGTTGGCTGAACTCCAGGATTGGCCAGGGGGTCCTGCTGATTGACAGGCGTTAGTCAGGAGATCTGGCTGATTGACAGGCGTTTCCGCTGGCACCTGATTGATGTTCTTTTCCTGCTTGGGCTGCTTTGTTCTAAGTAGCCACTAAATCGCCACCAAGTCGCCACCACCGACCTAACAATTTGTGCTCATGGGCTTTTCCTAAACCAAGAAACAATGCCTTCAGGTTTTTCATATGTAACAGGTGGTGTAATTGTATGCCTTTCCATGCCTGTGTGCTTCTGTGTATCTTGTGTAGTGTGTGTGTGTGTGTGTGTGTGTGTGTGTGTGTGTGTGTGTGTGTTTGCGCGCGCGCTCATGCTGGGGGAGCAGCCATAGTTGATAAAGAAAGGTATAATTTTCCACTGTATTTTATTAGTCACTAAAATGCTGGAAGGATCAGCTTTATTTAACCCTAAATAATGAATGTTTATTGCAAGTGTCCTGTGCCATTAGCATAACAAAGCCGAGTACTTTATCCTACTTAAGCCCTGATCTTTACCAAGTGCACAATCTGAAAAGCAGGCAGGCTCAAAATCGACCACCATCTGCTGTCCCCAACTTGGAATCACAGTGAGATTTATGCAGCCAAACAACCAAAGATCTGGTCTGCCTGCCTGTCCAATTAGTTAAATAAACTGAAAAGGCTTTGCTGACAAAGAGGCGATAAATGCTCCTATGATAATTATAGAATGGTGTTTTCACTTCACACCAATTGGATGTATTTAATCCTGCACCCAGGCGTCACTCATGCAATTAATAAGATGCAGGGAATTAAGGATGATGAAGGGGACCAGGATGTGTGGACGCCAGATCAGAATGCTAAATCTGGAAGCACCAAGTCAGTCCTGGTCTCAGCTGCTGGGGACATGGGTCACACTGGACTGCTGCCCACTCTGCATCTCATGTCCCTGAAGGCTGCCCGTTGTGGGATAGTTCCAGCATTCACTGATGTTATCATGAAAAGGCAGAGTCTTGTACTTTGTGTCACCTCTCACAAATGAAGGTGTGTGACTCTTTGAAATGGGAGATGGATAAATTGAATGATCACAAAAAGCAAGTTCTGCCATGTATTTTGATTTGTAATGAAATTACATAAAACCAACTTCATAACAAATGCATTTTGTTTATTAGCATAAGTGCATAACAAAAAGCCCCAAATCTGACAAAGCTGCTACTTCTTAACGGCTACCCTGAATGGCACTCAGGATTCTGAGTTTTTTTGGTTTTTTTTTTTTTTTTTTTTTTTTTTTTTTTGGAACTGAATGGAGAAGCTCACTTTTCAGAGCTCCCCTTCCCACAGTTTGGGAAATATTTATACACAGGATGAAAATCTATCTTGCAGAGAAACCCCATAATCCCACAATTAGTCAAACAAATTTCAAATACTCAGATTTAAAAATATTTACATTCTCATTTAGGGTCCAGGAAATGATTACTAACATTTACAAACACATGTGACATCACAGAACAGGATCTTGACCATGATGTAAATTAATTCAATCTTAAGTTAAATCTGTAAAAGAACTTCAGCCCTGGGAAATAGCAAGCAAAATCTGCTAGAAGAAACCTGTTGTCATATAACAGATAAGAATAACAGCTTGAGATAGGAATTCCAGAGTTTCTACCTAAGTAACAGAGGGGCATTATACCCAAGAATGGATCAAAATACAATTCACTTTTCAACATGCACTTGGTAAAAATTTTCCCTAGGGATCTGTTGTGAAATTGAATATTTAATTATTGCATGTGTGGAGAATTTCAATTATTGTCCTTTTTCTTTCTTTCTTTCTTTTTTGTTTTGTCTTTATTTTTGTTTTTGGAGCCAGATATTTTCAGATCTCATATCTGGGATTCTCATGCTCAAGCTATTGTTTAAGGTGATGGAAATATGTAGGGAACATTAAACTATTTAGCAGGTGCTAGAATGAAATGCTTTCCTGTTTTCCTGATTTTTTTGACAATGGAGAAGCTAAAAAGAAAAATAATAGGAAAAGGCTTTCCTATATTCCTTTTGGTGTGGGGTGGGGGGTTTGTTATTTTGAATTTAGTGAATTCATTCAGTGCAATCCACCATGAACAATGTACATAAGCAAAGGGAGGAACGTTTAACTGCTTACTACATAGCTGACCCAGGCAAGAAGATGTCGGGATAGGCCTTCCAGGAAATTTGCTACTCTGTCACTGAATAAAAGGACCACACAAGGTCAGCAGTGAGCAAGACCTGCTTCCCTTCTGGCCCCAGAGCCCAGTGAAATATCACTTTTCTCAGTGACATAGGGATATGGAGCACAGCAATGTGATGTGATGATGATGATGATGATGATGGGTGGGCAGCCAATTCTTGCCTCCAAGGCAGTCTTAATTCCCATAAAAGCAGATCTAGATTCCCACTACAAAGAGGGTTCACTGAGTCCCTCCCGAGGCATTTTTGGACAATTGTCTTACACTTGGTTTTCCACACTACTCAGTCACTTTGGGGGACTGTCCTTCTGCATCACCCTTGTCTAATCGTGAACAAGAAAAAAGAGCTACGGTGGTCACCTGAAATTCGGAAATGGGTAGCCATAGGGAGATGCATGTTCAAGGGGGATCTTCTCCCCTTTAAATAATCTTCTTTTGAAGGTGAAGGATGGGAAGGGGTGAGCTGGTCCTAGATATTGCTTTTTTCATGAGTATCTTAGAATTACTGAGTCTATGAAAATTTGAATAAAACACAAACAGAAAATACCTTTCGGGGCTGAGGTGTAGCTCAGTGGTAGATTTGCCTGCCAAGCCTGTGTGAGACCCTGGGTTTGACCTAGCACCACACCACACACACACACACACACACACACACACACACACACACACACACCCCAAAGAAAAAAGGGAAAAAAAACAAAGAGAGAGAGAAGAAGAAGAAGAAGAAGAAGAAGAAGAAGAAGAGGAGGAGGAGGAGGAGGAGGAGGAGGAGGAGGAGGAGGAGGAGGAGACAAAAAAGAAAAAGAAAAAAAAAAGCCATTGCCTTGAAGCCCTTTTCCCAGTGGGCTTGGCTTATTTGGCCACTGTCTCATTGGATCTCTGGCTGGGCATGACTAAGTGACCTTGGTCCCTCTGATTAAGTGACAGTAGTTTGTCAATGGCTAGCACTTGGGTGATCAGCATCAATTTATCCAGAGCGAAGGGCCTCTGACTCCCCCAAGCAAGGATTTATATACCTTTCCTGGTGTGGTAGTGCATGCCTGTAATCCTAGTGGCTCAGGAGGCTGAGGCAGGAGGATCCCAAGTTCAAAGCCAGCCTCAGCAACTTGAAAAAGCCCTATAACTTAACAAGACCCTTTCTCAAAATAAAATATTAAAAAAGGCTGGGGATGTGGCTCAGTGGTAAAGCACCCCTGTTTTCAATCCCCTGTACCAAAAATAATTTGTATACCTCAAACAAATTGACAGAGAAATAAACGGAGGTCACCTGGTCCAGGGATGTTGGCTATTCCTGGGTAGCGGGGCAGACAGAGTAGATAAAAGAGCGCTGCTTGCCATGAAAAAGAGCTGACACTGTCAGAGGGTTGAGTAACTGTGTTCCTTATCAAGCCATCTCCCCACTTGTGGGCCCTCAGAAGTGATCCATGATGTCTCGGGCGTTGGGGATGGAGCTGTATGCTGCCACCTACAGAAGCATTTGAACACAGACGTCAGAAAATGAGGCTGTGCTGTGTGAAAAGTCAGAATGCCGCAGAAACAAGAAGATCCCCAGGGTGACCTCAGAGAAGTCAAGGCTCGCAAGGTCTGTACACAAACGGTGCAGGGACTGTGGAAAGCTAGAACAGGAATGTTTCCCTCACCCCAAATGAGAAAGGCAAGAATTTTAAAGTCCTAGAGAAAAAAAAAAGGTGTTGCATTTTTGTTTACTTCACTTAAGCGCCATGTCTTTAAAATCATAGAATGGGCTGATGTTGGTTCCCATGCAATGGACTACGGTTTCCATACATTGCCAAAAGTCCTTGCCAAATGGACACAACCTTGATCTCCTTTCAGGATGAGACACCCGATTTCCAACTGAAAACTGGAGATCATGAGATAACTTTAAAAAGCAGAAGTTTCAGAGACCCTATCAAGCCCTTAAATGCCTCCATCTTTGACGTATTCTCCTCCCCATTTGGGGTGTTCTATTTTCTTAAGAAAAAAAAATATATATATATATGCATACATGTATATATATATAACATATGGATATATGTATAAACCATAACACCTACATTTCAAAATCGACTAAAGCATATTTATGTAACTCTGAAGGCCACACACCTGTCAGCTGTTCACATCTAATCCACAGGGTGTCAACCTCCAGGATGGATGATGTCTAAGGTAAAACCAGAAACAATCTGGCATCCTGTTCTGAGAGGAAAAGTCTTTGGAATCCTTGGAAGGAGATATGTTCCCTCCTGTCTGCTCTCCTACCCAGAGGTAGAAAAAAGCCTCCAGGAGACCTGAGGTTTCCCAGCAACCTCAGGCAACGTCCCAACTTCCAGTGACTCTAGCAGAGCTATATGCAAAGAGTACTGTCACCATGAGATGGAGAGTGGAAATCTTTGCTAGCATACATTTTGAAATGAAGCTGAAATAAAAATGGGTTTTGAGCACTTTTTGCTGTTGCAAAACCTTAGTTACTATCTCTTTCCCTCCCCCACCCTTTTTTTAAGGAAAAGAGAAAAGGGCAGGGCCAAAAGCCCCTTAAGAATCCTGTGTGACTGATTCCTAATTTGGTTGTGTGCCACACCCACAAATCAGGAGTCAAGTTCTCCCAATGCACTATTGACTATGAACTACAAACTGAGCTAAAATGCTTTCAGACGACAACTTTCCCAAAACACAGCCTAACATCTCCCTCCTACATCCTTCAGACACAGTCAGAACTCTGAGGGTTCTTCCATCTACAACCAAAGCATCAGAACACAGAGTACTGGGAGTGGAGGCAGGACTGCCTATGGGGTGACTCTGGGCCTGGAGTTGTCCTTGGACTTTTTTTTTTTCCTGCCTTAATCGTATTCATACCATCAGTAGTCCAGTATGTGTTAACATCATTAACATCAGTCCATTCTGATGATCTGGTTCAACTATTTGTGAATCAGATCCCTGGCCTCACTCTAACCAGTTAGGTTACACTTTCACCAATGCTTTTAGCAACTTCTCTCATATTTTTCCACTCACTTACAGATAAATTCAAGACTATCCAAAACTTATCAACTAGGGGATGCAATGTCTAAAATTCCTACTTCCTTGCAAACTAAGCAGTGAGTTGTACTTCCTGTCATTCTAAAGGATTTCAACAATACCAACCTCAGCAGGACTTGTGACGGGGTAGAAAAGGGTTTACAACACTGAATATGTTGCCTTTGGCAAAAAAGAAAAAAAGTAAGCATCTCCTATAATTAAATAATTAACAGACTTAGTTTCTCTCATATGAAGAGGGACAAATCATTTCAGTCTTAATTAGCATCCATAGTTTACTTTTTCTCTTAGATGAATGAAGAGATCAGAAAAAGTCATTCTCAGGGAGCCCCATTAGCACCTGATCTCTCCAACCTGGATCCACAACAGGGGAGAGAAAGGAAATCATCCGTGATTGAATTTAAAAAGGGAGAACAAGTGAGAAATATTAATAAATACTGACAATATTGCCACAATGGCAGGCCAACACACAGCTGGCACATCAGGAATATCACATGCACGTAGAAAATACTTGCACACTCCAGGTGGCCAGGCTGTTAAGTTGTATGACTGTTGGCTAAGATTCCAGTCCTGTCTTTCCAAAGATCTCCCCTTCAGAGGAGAAGTTTAAAGCTCCAAGGATGGTGGCAGCTGATTGTATCTCTGAGGCCATCTCAACTTCAGCAGTCTGTCCCAGGTGTTGGACTATGAAAGACAAAAGATGACCAGGTTGGAAGCTACAGTGCCCCTGCCACACGCACCACCCCCACCCCCACCTTGTACCCATGCCACAAGGACTGCTGGGGTTGAGTGGAACATCTACACAGTCTTGTGTCTCTCTCTGCCTCTCTGCACCGTGGACAGTGCCTCCCACCTCCCTGAGTGACCTCGGGTCTTCCATTTACCTGTACTGATTCTCCAGGGCCCGGCTCTCTGCTCGCTCTGGTACCCACGAGTAACTATCAGCTGCACTCTGGGGCTTCTTCTCCTTTATCTCTTCCTTCTTGGCTCTCCGCTTGCGATAGACCAGAAGCCCCAAAGCCAGAGCCAGCAAGAGTGAGATGGCCACCACTGTGCCCAGGATATAGAACAGAAGCAGCTTTTGACCGTCGGTGCCAGAGTCGCTCTGGGTAGCCACAGAATTCTCATCTGTAGCCTTGCCATGACCAGCTACAGCTATAGGGAGGTGGGTGCTTGGCTCTGTCCAGATGCCAGGGGCCCCACTGGGGGCTGACATCTCCAGAAGGGCCGAGGTAGTGGGGGCATTAGATGAGAGGGACGGTCTCCTTGTGGTGGGTGTGCCCTCGGAGGTGTTCTCAGAGTCCTTGGGGAAGCTGGATGTCGTGGTAGAAGGCAAAGTGCTCCCCTCTGTGTCTGCCATGTCTTCCTCTTGGGGAGGCCCAGATGGTGATCCTGAGGGGACAGGGCTCATGATGCAAGAGACCCCATCGGGGGCCAGCTCCCAGCCCCGCAGGCAGCCACAGTGGAAGGACCCCTCCGTGTTGAAGCACAAGCTGTCACAAGGGTTGCCCCTGGGGTCGGAACACTCGTCCACATCCTCACATTGGGTGCTGTCCTCCCCGGACAAGACATAGCCCTCCTCACAGGAGCAATGGAAGGAGCCATCCGTGTTGATACAGCGCTGGGCGCAGGGCGAGTGGCCAAGGGCACACTCGTCCACATCCCAACAGGTCTCCTCTTCGGGGCCACCAGGCGTGTAGCCCACCCAGCATTTACAGTGGAACCCCCCAGGGGTGTTGACACACTCCTGAGCGCAGGGGGCCTCCTGGCATTCGTCCACATCCACACAGTCCAGCTGACTGGAGTCTAGACGGAAGCCCTGAGGGCAGCGGCACGTATAGTCTTTCTCTTGGGGTCCGGGGACACAGGTGGCCTTCCCTTTGCACGGGCTGGAGCTGCAAGGATTCCGAGAGGCACAGGTCACTAGGTCGTCCAGCAGCCGGAACCCTGGCCGGCAGCCGCAGCGGAAGGAGCCATCCCCACCTTCGAAACAGTCTTGCTGGCAGCCCCCGTTGTTGAAGTTGCAGCCATACTTGGGGCTCACACAGAGGGGACCTGTGTTGCCCCAGTTAAACACTTCGGGGGCCTTCTCCTTGCACAGGAAATAATGACTTTTACTTTCGGCCCCATCCTCACAGGCGACATTGGCCACAGAGGCAAAGGGCACAACCTCCAGGGAGGAGGTGGTGGCCTGGAAGGGGGTGCTATAGGTCACCTGGCCTGGACCCCCCAAGGCCAGGGGCCGGCACATGCCTTTGAAGCTGAACTTGCATACAAAGCCCTCGATATTGCTTCCTGGAAAGCCAGGGGTCCCACAGGGGCCATCAGACCACTTGGGGAGGCGGCTGGGGAGGGGTGTTAGGGACAGGTCCAGCACCAGGGACACACAGCGGTTGGAGATGCACGAGTGCTTGACTTCTTTGTGCCAATTTGTATACAGGGAGTCCTCCCCTCCACCCACCCAGCTGAAGCCCTTCAGCGGCTTGTTAGGATCCAAGCACTTGCCCTTCTCCCTCTGGAGCCCAATCCAGAACTTGCCCATCTTTGCTTCACGGCTCTTCTGTGACTCCAGGAGCTGGGCCAGGGCTCGCTGGACGTGCTGGGCCTCCTCCTCGCTCTTCACCGTGGCCAGGTTGCCTCCGTTCACACTGCAGTGGTGCTGGGCCTCCGTGGCAGTCAACTTGTCCCAGTGGGCCGTGTAGCAGGCAGTCCCCGCGCACACCACAGCCTCTGGGTCAGCTCCAGTCCCCGCCCAGGCCTGGCCTAGGAGCAGCAGCAGGAGCAGGTCCCTGGAGGTGGCCATTCTGTCCTCTGGGTTCCCCCTCAATGAGAGGCTAGAAGCCCCACAGGGACAGCAGTCACTGGAGCTTAGACTCCCGGCGCCCAGCTGTGCGCTGAGGGGAGCTGAGAGCTGAGCTGCAGCACGAGCTCCAGCCCAGAGAAGGACACAAAGACCGCAGGCTCTTCACATCCCCCTGACCCAAGGCGCATCCTGTGCTCTTGTACTTCTTATTTCTCACCGGATACTGGGGCTTCCTGCAGTGAATAGATTTCTGACTCCTGTTGCCTTCATCACGGTTTTGTTGTTCATAAAAGGAACCCGGCGGCTTTGCTGGGTCCCTGGCTCGGAGCTGTGGAAAAGCAACGCGGGGGGATGACTGTGCGGCTCAGAGATACTGGCTGCTTTATTTTGGCTCAGTTCTCCTTTCCCATCCACATGAGGAACCTAAATGGTATGCTACAGAGCAAGCAGAGACTTTGGGATCTCAGAACTTGAAAAGGATCACTCCATAACCCATAATAAAATTCCACTTTGGTTTGCAAACAACCAGAAGAAGAAGAAGAAAAAAAAAACAAGACTTGAAACACAAGGCCGTGGATGGTTATAATTTTCAGCCTTTTTTAGAAGCAAACTAGATTTTTTCTTCTTCCTATCTCGTGTCTCCCTCCTCTCCTCCCTTGGCTTTGGAAGTTTTTTTGTTTTTTTTCTTTTATTTCCCCCCATCATGAACCTTAAATAGATAGGCAGTTTTTAAATAGGATCTGGGCCGTGGGAAAGTTTGGGTTTCTAACACAATGCCAAGCTCCTTGAGAATATTAAACCAAATTGGGTGAGATTTGGCAGTTTTTAGGGGTTCGTTGTGCGAATGTTTCATTTTGAGGTGGCAGGGTCATGAAAACAGCATCAGAAAGAGGAAAAAAAAAAAAAATATATATATATATATATATGATCTCATGGGCGCTGGCTGGCCTGTCTCCTCCCCTGGCTCTGGGGGAGTTCAAGGACAGGGAATTCGAATCAAAGACTGGAGTTTGACAGTGAGAATGACAATAAAGGGCTAGAGCTCTGGGCTGTAGAATCAAAGCTGTGGCATGACTCTTGCTGCAAGTGAATTCATCCAAAGCCCTTGAATCCAAGATTCTTTTCTTGTAATCATAGACCTCTGATCACCAGGACTTGTGTGGTTGGGGTCCCCCAGAAATAGACCCTGAGACAAGAATTTGGAGCAATTATTTTATTTGGGAAGGGAAATGAAACAGACAAGGAAGGGGCCCATAGAACATGGCACAATGCAGCAAGTAACACTGGCCTCCTGTGAAGGCCACACTTCACAGTCATCCCCGATGCAACCAGCAGTGCTCCAGCTCCTCTCCAGATGGCTGCATTTTTCCCTAATTTGGTCTTACGGTCTTTCTCAGGACAATGGCTATAAACTCTAGCTCTGCCTACCTGACCAGGTGTCTCTCTCTCTCCCAGAAAAGTTGTAGACACAGGTGGATGCCCTTGTAGTTCCTGTCTCATCTGTGTCCCGTTTATTCTTACCAAGGTGGCAGCTCTCTCACTGGGGGAAGAAGTTAGTTTCAAGGTGTGTTGTTCAAGTGACACCCAAAGGAGGAAGTTCAACTGAACACCTGAAATGACAGAAACTTTTGTACTATTTATAGGTCTCAGAGAGAAGAGGGCAGAGTGCCTTGCTGGGCCAATGGGAAGTGGGAAGCTGTCCAGATGGTAAGTACAGAAAGAAAGAGAGATTTGTAGGTCAAAACCCTTTTTGGGGTCCGGAGCATTACCCATGCAGGTTGCCTGAGGAGAGTCTAATCAATGGTTCAGAACAAGCAGACATGAGTCCTGTGACAGAGATGGCCACTGCAGCAAATCTGCACAGTCATGCGTGATGCATAGGTGAGTGGGGTAGGTTGATAGGCATCCGGCTCTCCCATAGGGAGATGGTAACCAGGAGGGAGTTATATAAGACATTCATCTGGACTGACCACATTAAGTTGCTGGAAGGAGATGGAAAACTAGAAATTATGTCAAAGTGCCTAAGCCTGGCTTCTGGAATATAAAAATCCAACTTCAAAGTCCTCAAAATTAATAATTCACTACACAGTAGCAACTCCTTGGCACTCTGCTACCCATAAAGGCCCAGTACATTAGAGGAAATTCTCAGGTAAAGAACCACAGGGGACTGCCACAGGGCAGTGAGCAATGCACCAACATCTGAAATGTTGACTTCTATGGCAATCTGAGATGGGCACCCTTCCTCTCAGCCTCCCCAAGGGATAAAAGTACCCATCTCAAACTCCAGCTAGGGACACCTCAGAAAAATACTCCTTATGTCCTTGTCATTTTAGAAAAGACATTTAAGATAGTCCAGGGACTTTTTCTCAGAGACCTCTGGATCCTCCTTGTGCTCCTTTGTGCCTATAGAGATCCTTCCATCCACCCACCTATCCATCACCTACCTGTCTACTCACCCGTTTGTCTGTCCATCCATCCATCCATCTATCCACCCACCTACCTGACAGTTGTTCCTACTATGGGCTGGGCTAGGCACCTGGATTTCAAGGAAGCATTTTTGCCTTCATGATCCTTGACATCTTTTGAAATGGACAAATTTGAACAAGTCACAGTATAAATCCACTTATTTGCAAGCAATTCAAGGAAAATGTCAGGGTGTCAAGAGAGGCCATTACCTGGGTAGAAACCGGTGTAGGGTGGTGGGTGGATAGTTTGGAAAGTCTCTTCTGTGAAGAAAGGCAATGAAGCTAGAATATAAAGGAGACCCAGCTACTAGGCAGAATGATGTCTACATGGTGGATCAGCACACATCAACACCCTGCAGACAAGTCTGGCAATGGAGGGAAGTGAGACGGGAGCCTGATGAAAGGAAGGGGAAATACAGGAGGAGATGGAACCCTCTAAGCCCAGTCTGGGCTTTTCATTAAGACACAAGGTAAGCTGAGGAACCAACCTGAGACCTGTATATGGAAGGTAAGCAGACAGCAGACTCCAAGTGGTGTGAGGGTAGCACTCACCAGGCAGACTCAACTTTGACCTTGGGTTGCAATGTGGACTTGATCCATTCATAGTCTCTCTCCTTGTCTGTACACCAGTTTTTGTGCAGCCCCAGAGCCGGATTCCTGGATTCCTCAGTTAACTTGCCATCCTGCAGGAGTTGCCCAGCATGATGCATTGTTGGTGCTTAAGGATAGGGGTTGAATGAGTAACTTGCAACTTGATAACCACTCTGACCTCCAGATCTTTGCCAAGTGGTTCTTTATCTTTCACTTAAGAACTTTCAAATCTATTACTTTGAATTTGTCAAGTGTTGACATCTTAAAGAAGATAATAAACAACAAGGAAGTATGCTTTGTTTATTCACCCATTAACCTAGAAAGGATCTCTGAAGCACAAACTGTGTGAAAGGCCATATAAAATGCAGGAACCACCCTTCCCTGGGAGTCATAAATTCTACTTCATTATTTCCATTAACCTTATTAACTCAGCTCTTATCTCCCTCTTCTATAAATAAGGAGGTGGAAACAGAGCCTCTGGAGAAACTTCTTGTCCTGACATCAATCATAGTGATGTTATACTCCATAATTCCTTCTGAAATTGGTTAGAAAGCAGACAGAAAGGAAATGGGCCCTAAGACCACAGCTGAACTCTCTCTCCATATGCAACCAGACCTCTATCTAAATTGCACCCATGCAACTCCCTCCAACCTACAAAACTGACCCACTAACTATCAAAATGCAATGCAATTTTCCTACTATTTATTCTTCTGATTTCTGCTCCATCCTTCAATCCTGCTGCTTGCTAGGGTTAATTCAACTGGGACATGCTGGACTTTCCAGCTCCAGGTCTCCCTGACTAAAAGGAGGTAGCAGAGGTCACAGAAAAACCAAGGGCATGGTATCTGTGAGCTCCAGGAAAGAAGCAGAACTTACTTTTCCTGGGTAGTTTTGGCTTGACTTTTACCAATAAGATAGCTTGAGAGCAAACTGAGGAAACTGGCAACTTGCATATTAAATTCCCCCATGGGAAATGATTAGAGTGTGGATTATAGAAAACCTCTCCAAGGACTGATCCTTAAACAACAGGAATCAACAGCCCAGAGTTCCAAATAGCTTTCCTTGGTGGGTCTTTGCATAGAAACTGTTTCAGGTATCATAGAATAGTCACAAGCCTAACAGCATGATTTGTTCCCTGAGTCACAGCCCCCAATCATCTGCTTTTATGTTGGAGTCTTACTGAGTAGTCAGAGCTTTCCTTGTAAATTGCCTTAGAAACCTACTTTACATCATGCTGGGAATGGAATGTTCTGGTCTAAAAAATGGGAACACTTTAATCTCAATTATTCAGGAGCTGATTAATTGGTTTGTGGCTCATTCAGGCATCAGGCTTTCCCCCCCCCCCTTTATTTTGAACTAAAATTTGAATGAAGGAGGTTATACAAAGTTGACAGAATTTTTCTTGGTACGACACACATATGGTGCCCTATATATATATATATATCAGTTAATTTTCCTCCATTTGTTCCTTCACTCAAGTGCACATTGAGCACCTACTATGCACTGGGCTGTGTTATCTGCATGTGGAGGAGGAGGACATGGGTTGCAGAGCCTTATGGATCTTGTAGCAGATAGGTGGAATGAGAGGGAAGACAGCTAGGAGAATGTGACTGGCCACAGGCTGTTAGCAACAGCTGTCTTGGTGAGGGAAGGACATGTTCAAAGATGACCCAGGTAAATAAGGGACGTCAAGGGGTGAGATGGTCTCAGAGAGAAGGACAAAAATACAATCCATAGGACCTTCAGGTGGCCCTACCAGTGGCAAAACACAAGGCTGTCACAGATCAGAGACCAAGGAAACACAAGTAATAGGTAGTTTTTCATTTATAGAGAATTTAAAACTGATTAAAGGTCTGCCTTCTCTTTACTATTTTTGAATTGTCTTTTTTCTTTTTGCCAAGTCCCAGCAATTGTAAACAAGGTCAATGATAAAATTCTCTTCCCTACAAAAAGCATCGGTTGCTCTGTCTTAAACAATTGTGGTCACCACCCCTGTTTTTAATAATCTGTATTTAAGCTTTGGATTAACACTTTTAATCACTTTTTCTTTAATAACTAATTGTATTTGACTCAGGTTAGCATTGCACTTGACTCAGTTGTAGAATTGGTCCCAGCCACATGGACTAATTGGCTGTGGAGCAGGGGTTTACTGCCCGGCACACCTAGTAGCTAATACTATGACACCAGACTTTGTGTTTTGTTTTGTATTTTGTGGTGCTAGGGATCAAGTTCAGGGCATACTAGGCAGGCACACTTGCCCACCCCTGGCATTGGGTTTTTGCAAAAAGAAAGCACTTTATTACACAGCTGACTGGCAAAAAGGACAAGGAGCTACGAATTCAAATCTGCCTCCCTGATCAGTTGCAGCAGAATCATTTGGAAAAG